CCCTCGGCAGCGGGCAAGGGGGCGTGCCGAAGCGAGCGCGGCGACGGAGCCGCGGGCGGCCCCCTCTCGGGGCCCGCAGGGTCTCGGCCTCTCTGTTGCCAGGGTCTCGCGTCGACCTGGGCGCGCCAGGTATGGGCACCACTGCCAAGGCCGCAGACGCTACACAGTGTTCATTTCTAATTCTTCGAAGGTTCTTTGATTTTTTGGGGGCCAAGATCCTTTCATTTCTAGTCGTTCTATCCTGGGCCTCTTCCAGGCCACTAGGGGGCCAGGAATAATGAGAAACCAGCGCAATCAGAAATGAGCACGATTAGAAATGAACGGCGTGTAGAGGAGGGCTCGCAGAGGTGACCAGACCGCGTCGAGACCTCGCGGCTCCCTGGGGGGGCTGCGAGCTTAGGAACTGTCGCTGCTTTCGTAGGCTCCTGTGTTGGGTGCTCGTTTTGAAGAGAGCACTGTGGTCGCATACCTCCCTCTTCTCCTTCCCCCTTGTCCTGTCTCCTCCTGCGCTGCTCCCTGGGTGGCTGCGGACTGCGCAACCGTCGCCAGTTTCGTGGGCTCTCAGACGGCTCGGAGGAGTCGGGGAGTACCCGAGACCTCGCAGCTCTCTGGGTGGTTGCGAATTGCGCAACTGTCGCCAATTTCGTGCGGTTCTGGGAAACACGGCAGTCAGGGTAGGGGTGTATTCGAGACCTCGCAGCTCTTTGGGTGGCTGTGAGCTGCGCAACTGTCGCCACTGTCGTGGGCTCCTGGGAGGCACGGCGGAGTAGCGGGCTACTCGAGACCTCGCAGCCCCCTGGGTGTTTGCGAATTGCGTAATTGTCGCCATTGTCGTGGGCTTCTGGGAGGCACGGCGGAGCAGGGAAGTACCCGAGACCTCGCAGCTCCTTGGGAAACAGCGGATTCGGGGATTACCTGAGACATGGCTGTAGACTGCGCAACTGTCCTCACTTTTGGTGGGCTCCTGGGAGGCACGGCGGAGTAGGGGAGCACGCGAGACTTCGCAAGTCCCTGGGAGGCTGTGGATTGCGCAACTGTCGCCACTTCCGTTGGCTCCTGCGAGACTCGGCGGAGTAGGGGAGCACCCGAGACCTCGCAGCTCCCTGGGTGGTTGCGCGTTGCGCAACTGTCGCCACTTTCGCGGGCTCCTGGGAGGCACGGCGGGGTATGGGGCCACGCGGGTCCAGCCGAGACCTCCCGACTCCTTGGGCGGCTACGGACTGCGCAATTGTTGCCACTCTCGTGGGCTCCTGGGAGGCACGGCGGAGATGAGGGCAGCGCAGATCGTGCATATCAGACGATTTTTTTTGGTATGACGCGTTTTTGCAAAGAGTCGCCTCCCGTTCAGAGGGGTTGGGTAGGCCTCGTTTTTACATCTCTTGCTTTTATCTTTTTCGTCGGCCAAGCTCCCACCTCCCCGGGCAGGCACAAAGGAAATTTAATGTTGAAGGCCGCGTAATAGGAATCACACTGCAAGTCAAGTTAGCAAACACATTTGAAGCTATTGCCTGCGCAATAAGAAGCACACTTGCCCCCTACACAACAGGAGTCAACGTGTGATTCCCCACAGGTGCTCTATTTGAAGGCCGTTCAAGAGGGGATACATTTTTCACCCCCTTACAGATTAACCATTAAATTCCAATGGAGGGATTCTACGTGTGGGATGCGATTGCTGACGCGGTGACACACTGCTTTTTGGGGCAAGGCAAGGTCACCGCAAGCGCGCGCCGATCAACAATCAGGAACGATGCTGCGCAAGGGTACGAGTCAACGCCCGGAAGCTCACAGCAACGCCCTGAACATGTCACCTGTTTTCGCCCAGAGGTCAGAGCCCATGTGCGAGTAATGCCACTGCGCAGCGCGCATTTTAGTTCAGGGCCACTCCTGCGATCCAGAACGAATGGGAGAGAGTGAGAGTGAGTGCAAAACGAGCACGCTGAGACGAGAGAGCTATTTAGTAATGACTCGGTAATGGACACGCGATCCAGAAAGCAAACAACATCAAGGAACAGAGAAAAGAGAGCAGACCGGATAAACGCAAAACGAGAGATGGATCTCAGGAGCGGTTCTTAGCACATGTCTACTATATATACATATATACATGTACATCGATCTCCATACACATATCGATGTATGGATATACAATTATTTCCTTTTCGACATATATGTAATGGTCGGTCGCCCTGTCTATCCGTCGATATCGGTCATCCGACCACGGGGCAACCACAGGACAAGCCCGGGACATCAACAGACCAATCACGGGATCACGGGATCACCACAGGATAACCGAACGTCGACGACGGGACATCTGCGTGGCACCACGGGACAATCGCAGGACAATTACAAGACAACCACAGGACAACTACGGAATAACCACGGGCCAGCCACATGACAGCCACGGGACAATCACAGAACAACCACGAGGCAACCACAGAACAACCGCGGGCCACGGGACGGCCACGGGACAACCTCCGGACAATCGCAGGTCAAGCACGGGACAACCGCGGGGTAAACACGGAACATCCATAGAACAACAACAAGACAACCACGGGACGACCATTGGGAATGCCGCAGGACAATCACATGACAACCAGTGGACAATCGCGGGACATCCGCGATACAGCCACAGAACAAGCAAAGGAAACACCACGGGACGACAATCGCGGGGCAACCGTTCGGACATCCGCCCACCCGTAGGGGCGAAGAACAATCTGATGGCCACCTGCCCTAACACGGCAGCTAATTCAGTCTCGCCCTCGTGCAGCGTCGCCTCGCCATCATTCACGTTACGTGCGACGGGGACCGAAATCGACACATATTTTCCAGTTTGGTGACTCCAGTGCACTTCGAGCTCTCCCCCCACCTCCGATCAGGGATCGCGCCCTTCCCACTCCACCAGTCCTGCCAGAAACGTGGGCATTTCCAGAGAGGCCGCGCAGGCCGCGCCAGCTGCGCGGATACCTATCAGGGATCGTGCCTTTCCCATTCCATCAGTCCCGCCAGCACCGCGGGCATTTCCAGGGAGACCTCGCAGACCGCGCCATCTGTCTGGATACCATGTTGCCTGTCAGGGATAGTGCCTTTCCCACTTCACCGGTCCCGCCAGTGCCGTGGGCCGCGCCAGCTCTGCGGATACCTTGTTGTGATCGTTTTTGTGCGCCAGTTATGCGGACACATGGTTATTCATAAGAGATTGTGCCTTCCTACTCGGCACATCGTTCCTGTTCGTACCTCCAGTGGCGGCGCGTCAGACCGCGCCAGCTGCGCGGATCGGAGGTTGGGAGCGACAACGAAGTGACCCCAACTGTGAAATTGTCTTCGGTTCTGTGGAGGAGGGGGAGGAAAGAGGACAGGGAGGGCATGGAGGGAGGGTTGGTGGCAGGGTCGCATGCAGGAAGGTGAGCAGGGAGGGAGGGAGGAACGGGGGAGGACGGGATGATGGTCAGTGATTGTAGTGGTGATTGGCGACGACCACGACGATGACGACGACGATGATTTCAACGACGGCGATGACTAGGAAAGGAGGGCGAGGAGGAAGAGGATGAGGAGGATGAGGATGAGGATGAGGAGGAGGAGGAGGAGGAGGAGGGGGAGGAGGAGGAGGAGAATGAGGAGGAGGAGGAGGAGAGGGCCTCGCGTGCAGGGTTCCGGGGGCAACCCGCGGCCCTCGAGTCGGCGGAGGGGCGTCAGGTGAACGCCCTGGGCCAGTTCGCCATCTCCAACGCGGTCGTTTCCTATTCCGTGTTCGGCGACAAGGACTGTGGCTCGCTCCTTTGTCCTTCTCCGTGGCCGTTCTAGCCTCTTGCCATGCCTGGTGGCGAGGGTGGTACGGTTGCGCCACCCAGGCCAGGGCATCGCCTTTGATCCAGTAGCGATCGAGGCTGCGTCCTATATACCTTCTTCCACCAGTGTCAGTGCGCGATGAGCTCTGCCGCGTCCCTGCTGTTGCTATCCACCGCCTCGTGTCGCACGTCGCCGCTGACCAGAAGTCGGGGGCGGCAAAGAGGGGGGTGATGACTAGTGGGGGGGGACATCATGGCGTGGGCCATGCTATTTCCCCAGACTTCAGGGCGCCTCTTCTCATGTCATTACGTCCCTGGCCCCCCCGCTGGGCCGCGCACATGCCGCCGGTCATGCTTTGCACCCCCCCCCTTCTTGGACACCCCCCTCTTGGGCGCGCTCCCGAAGAAGGATCTCGAGCGACAGGGAGCGGGTGGGACACGCGGTGAGTGCGCTGGCGGGCAGCCGAGGGTGCTCACGCCCTGTCCAGGTCGAGGCCTGCGGCCCGTGTTCGCTCCCGCGGCAGGGAGCTCGGCGCGACTTGCTCGGCCGGGGTCGCAGTCTCCAGGGGCGCGCGAATGGGCCAGGGGGGTGGATAGGAACGCTGGTCGAGGGAGGTGGGAGGGAACACGTACAGTGCCGTTTTTAAATGCAGGGATTTAGTATTTCAATTCAGTATGAAGGGGTTTAGTATTAAATGCTCCGCGTGCGGGTCGTGTATGAAAAAAGCTGGGATTTAGCATTAAAAGCAACGATGAGTTCATGCATTCATTTATTCATACATTAATCATGCATTAATATGTGTATATATATACGTATGTTTCAACATCCCGTGTATTAGCAAGCGCCCTGTAGGGACTGTGAGGGGCCCAAAGGATGTGCATCTATGGAAGAGGGTGGCGATGCTGATGAGGATACTGATGATGGTGATGACGATGATGCTTGTGGTGGTGAAGATTATGCTTCTGCTGCTGCTGCTGCTGCTGATGATGATGATGATGATGGTGCTGCTGCTTCTGATGATGATGATGATGATACTGATGATGATGATGATGATGATGATGCTGATGATGATGATGATGATGATGATGATGATGCGGTTGCTAATTATGATGATGATGATGGTGAGGACGGCGATGGTAATGGCCATGGTGATGATGAGGAAGATGGTGATTGCCGTGATTATGATACTGGTAATGAGGAGGACGATGATCATGATGGTGGTGATGCTGATGCTGATTACCCTGGTTGTGGTGGTGATTATAGTGATGATGCTGATGCGGATGATCACGAGTTGGCTGATGTGAAGATGGCGGTGATGCTGATGCTGATGTTAATGCTGCTGCTGATGATACTGTTGGCGCTGATGATGATGCTTAGGCTGATGATTATGATGCTGATGCTGATGATGATAGTGATGCTGAAATTGGTGATGATGATGATGATGACGACGATGGTCATGATGATGCTGATGATGCTGATGATGATGATAATGAGGAGGATGAGGGTTCATGACCCATACATGCCATGGTGACCTTGCGATTCTGGTTTATCGTGGCAGCTCCCCTCTTCCGCGCTATGCCCTGGCGCCCAAGCGAGCTCGAAGTTGAGCGCGCGCGAAGCAAAGGGAAGGTTCTAGTAATTCGTATCTTCCGCTGTGCGCCGAAGTAGTGCCATGGATAATGCTTCCCTACTGTCAGAATTGTATTGTTCGGCCCAAGCGGGCAGCCGTACCTTCCCGCCAGGTGGCGTTCATCTTCCAGCGCCCAGTCGCCTGTAGAAGACCTCGCCTGACGCGCGGTAGTGGTAAGTATTCTGCCGGCTTTCACAGGACGCTTTCTACGGGTCTTTGACTTCGCGTGTTCTCTTCCTGCGTTTCGCGGCATCTCTGAGCAATTGCGAGTACAGTTGTTCGTACGCCCGCCAGCTATTGCGGTTCTTCGCCAGATCAAGCTCACAATGCAACCCTTTGTTTTGCTATGGTTATCTAGCTATGTCGATCAAGCATTCCTGCGCCTGCTCTGGTACAGTCTGGCACTCGTCGGTCAGCCCTGTTGAGCTTCTGACTCGCAGCAGCGCTGTTTCTGAGGACGGCACCAGCTCTGTCAGTCTATTGCGTCGCGGTGCTCGGTTCTAGTCCGCACCAACACCATGATTGTGCAGAGCGCGTAGCAGCGGCCGCTCTGCCTCCGCCGCCCAGCCAAGTCCGCCAGCGGCATGCAGCAATTGCAGCGTTCGCCACTTCAAATGTGGCGTAGTACAGGTCCTAGGTCACACACACACATGGCGGCGAAGATAAACGCTCTTCACAAGTCGCGGCCTGGTCACCACCCACCAAACAACCCCAACCCAACCCGAAGGCCTCAATTTGCCCTCCATTTCCAGTGGGGGGGGGGTCGAGGAACATTCTGGAAAAATGCATCTGGAGCCCGTACCCCCCCCTAACCCGAAATTCGGGCCTTCGGGTTGGCTTGGGGTGGTCTCGTAGGCAGTCCGCCTGGGCCGCTGGGGTGCCCGTCCGGTGCGGCGGCGCGAGGCGCGACGACGGCCGCAGGGCGCGCACCGCGGGGCGCGAGGCGTGAGGCTGTAGGCGACCTAAGGGACCGGCCAGAGGATATATGACGTGCATCTTCGTTTCGACTAGACGGAAGAGTGACCTGTCGCCGGAGTGACCTTTGGCGCGGGCCCATTGGGGTTCGCCGATCGCCGGACGCGATGCGATGGTAGCGCCTTGCGCGATTGGATTTGGTCCCACCGCGGCCCCCTGAAAGCCGCGCACCAAGGGTCACTCTTACCCAGGGTCACTCTTGCGTGTAGCCGATCGTTGGGATGTGGGGCCGGACCGCTTTCCGGAGGTCAGGCCGGCCGAGGCCTTGCATCATGCCGTTCCAAAAAGGGACCCCAGGGAAAGGGATTTCTGAGGCCGGCGATGCTGGTTTCTCCAGTCCGCCCGGCTTCGCCCACAGGGTCGCCGCATGACGCTGTCATTCGCAGTTCTCGAAGTCAGTATGAGACGCAACGCTGCGGTCTCAGAAGTCCCTTTCGCTGGCGTCCCTTTAGGAAACGTATCACTCTATATTGCGGGGGCGGGGGGGGCATTGGCGAGGCCTGCGGAGTTCAGCAGCCGAGGGTTCTGCTGTCTTGTGGGGTCGCATGCGGTTTCTTGCCCCAGTTCCCGAGTCCCCCTTCCAAAGATCAGGCCGCGCAGAACGGAGGGGGAATTCGGGGATACCCCCCCATGGGGGGCCACTCGAACGCACACCTATCGAGGATGGCCGCCCGAGATGCTCTGTCCCAGGGTTGTGCCCCGAATCGTCGGCCTGGTCGAAACAAAACCCACTACAGCCTTGATTGGGGTCTCCTTCCCATTTGTTCGTAGGGTGTCGCATTTTCCTTGTGTTCGAATGCGTTTGCCAGCACTCCCTGGCTGCGGGTGTGCAACTGCTTCGCAGGATGCTTGACGAAGTATCACTCGGCGGCGGCTCCCTTCAGAGCCAAGGCCACGGCCCTAGGGCCACGGCGGTTGCCAGGTCTCGCCGGGGGCCGACCTGAACAGTGTTCTGTCGATTTCGTGCGCCGTTTCGTTTCGACTTCGTCTTGCAGTGAAGGCGGACTGAAGACAACACGAGGGAAAACAAAGGCAACACGAAAACGAAGAGCACGGTATAGTTCGGTCCCCGCCGTGCTCGTCATTTCACCTTCGACCATGGACCATGGCGAGGGCAGCCGGTTGAGAGAACGAATCCAACGTCCGATGTTTGCCTCAGCAGTGCGGCGGGGAGGACACCTGCTCCTTACTGCAGAGCTACTTTGCCGGAGCCTACTACCACCTGGGCACTTTCGCATTCGGCGGGTTCGTCCTCAGCTGCCTGAAAATCCTGGTGGACCCCCCGCTCGCCGCTCTGTCTATCCTTTCTAGCGTGTGAGCAGAGTGTCAGATCGCCGCCGTTGTCCCTTGCCCGCTCACCCAGCTTCCGCGTTTGGTGCGGTGAACGATTCTTTCATCCTTGGAGCCGAGCGGTCGCCGCCGTGCCACCGCCAGCGTTTCTTGACAGGTATGTTGGCGTAGCGTGGCCAATTGAACTTGGCGCCCGTCAGCGCTTTTGGCATGTCTGGCTGGAGAAGAAGTGTCCGTTTTCAAACGCTTGTCCCTCTTTCCCCTCCCTATTTCACGATGGTTTGGATATGTGTTCTCCGGCTGCCTCCGTATTCTTGCCCCGTCTGTCAAGGGAGGTCGTGCACGGAGAAGCGAGTTCTCCATTCAACGAGGGCTACCATTTGCTCATTATGTTGATCTTCATTGCCGCATTTTTTGCTTACAGGCTCCTTCTATTTTCCTTTGTCGCATTGTCGCACTCTTTTGTTTACAGGCTCTCTCTCTATTTTTCTGCGCTGTCTTCGTACCCATAGGAATGCCGCCGATCCACTGCCCGAGGTATTGAGAATCCCATGCTCGTGCTTCCGGGCTCGGTGGAGTTCTGCTCGAACCGCTCGGAGCCCTCTGGGGTCGTCAGTGCGCATGTTGGGGTTGAGCGCTCCTTTGAGCGTCGGAACCCTGCCACCGCAACGCAACGCTTCAGGCTGCACGCTCCCATATCTTCTTACGATGTCGTATCTCTCGAGGCTTCTTGGGCCCCCCTTAGAGTCCACTTGGAGCCCTCTCTAGATTTGGCGCCCGACAGGCCGGGGAGAGTAGCGCTTCCTCCTCCTTCTCCTCCTCCTCCTCCTTCTCCTCCTCTCTCCTGCTCCTCCTCCCCCTCCTCCTCTGATCTTTTAGTGCTTCTTCCATGACAGCTGTGGTCGTGGGCGGAACACATTTCCGTATCCGCGGCCTCGCGGGCCAGGCCCCTGGGCCGCGACCCCGCGGATACGGGGCGTTCCCTCTCCTCCTGGGATCGAGGTTGGAGTATGTCAGTGCTCGTGCCCGATTTCTTCGTACCCCTCCTTCGTATTAAGAAAGGCTGCTTTCGGTTTGGGCGGAACTCGGATGTCTTCGACCGACAGCTCAATGGGAATGTCCTGCAGCGCGCCCTCGATTTGGTTGGACAGGCGGCTGTGATGGCGGTGCTGGCGAAGCAGGCGCGGAACGAGGACGGCTCCCAGAGCGCCGTGGCTAGGACCCGCGCGGGGCATGCCACGCGATCCTCCCAACATTGCTGCTCCTGCTCCCACTGCTCCCTCTCGCTCCTGCTCCCCCGCCAGGCCAGCCCTCCTGCTTGCAACCATCGTCACGGGCAGCTCCTCTTGCTGGCGTCTGCCTGTCTTTGGGGGGCAGCATCTGCCCGCCCAGGCCGGCGCTTCCGGCAACCAGCAGCAGACTCGTGGCAGCACCACAGGGAGCCTCGCGGGTCTCCGCCCTCCTCCTGCCCCCCTCCCCTCCCACAAGAGGGCCCCGCCCCTCTCCTGCTTCTGCCGCGCCTCCTCCCCTGCGTGGCCAGGTGGAGGAGGAGGAGGAGGAGGAGGAGGAGGAGGAGGAGGAGGAGGAGGAGGAGGAGGAGGAGGAGGAGGAGGAGGAGCCGCCTCATTGAGCAGGCGGCAGGGGGCGCCAGCGGCAGGCGAAGTGCTCAACGGAGCCCCCCGGACCTCGCCACCCAGCAGCAGGCCAGCGCGGCGAGTGCGCGGGCGTCGCGCGGTGTTCGCTGGAGCGGCGCAGAACAATGGGGCCGTCTGCGCCGACATTCGCGCGCAAGCTGCCCGCATAAGGTCGCGCGTGCGCGCCCTCGTCTCCAATGTATCGTGCCGCGCTGGCGGCCCGTGCAAGCCACCGCATAAGGTAGCTGTCATCCTGCGTAAGACCCGTTTCTTTTTGTCGCCCACTTGTCGGTGCCCCTCCTCCCCTGCGTGTGGTCCCGCCTCGGCCCGTGTCCCCGCTGCTCACTGCAGCTCTTGCTCCTGCCACTCCTGCTCCCAGCCCCAGGCTTTCACCAGGCAGCCTCGCCATGACTTCCACGAGCGCGTCGCAGAACGGTTATCACCTGTGTCCAAAGGATGCTTGTCGGCACTTGATGCAGCAAGGGTCTTCCTGCTCCTCCTGCTCCTCCTGCTCCTCCCCCTCCTGCTCTGGGGCCTCATGCCCCAGCTTTATTCTTGAGCCCCGCCCACCATTCAGCGAATCTGCAGTGCCAGTGGGGGCCGTGTAGTTGTGGGCGCCCCTTCTTGCTGAGCAGGGAGGCGGATCTCTCGTTCGAGCGGTGGCTGAAGTGCCGCTCTGGGCGGGCTCACGGGGCCCCGGGCCTGCCCTTTCTTTGTCCCGTCCTTCGGCTGCTGGCAGTGGCTGCTTCCCCTCGTGCTCATCCGCCCCTCGCTGGGGCCTCGTGCGCCAGGGGCCCTCCAAGCCCTCCCGAAGCTTTCAAAGACTGCCCGAGGCCTCCCGAGTTGGAGGGGGACGCCGCACCGACTGGCGGGCAGCGCGACGGAAGTCGAATGGTCTCCATTTCGGAGGTCTGTGAGTCCCGGGGTCGCTTCCGCGACCTCCACAGTCGAGCCTCCAGAACGGAGGAGGTAGCCTCCGGAACGGAGGAGGCACATGCAGATTGGAACATCAGGGCCTCCATGTCGAAGGTTTTTGAGCCTCTGGATCCGCCCCCCCGCCCCTGCGCGCTCTTTGGGAGTTCGCTGCCCTTCCCCCTCCCCAAGGGCACGTCTCAGCGGTGACGCCAGCCTGGCGTTCGGCGAGGAATGTTTCTGCCGGCGGGCCCCTGCGCATCCTCCTCATCCTGCCTTCTGTTCCTGCTCCTCCTCTCCTCTGTCTTCTGGTTCTCTGCTGCTCCCTCCCTTCCCCCTCCGCGTCCCAGGAAGGAGGCCAGAGAGCGGGAGGGGCCTCGTTGTAGCAGCAGCAGCGAGGATAGTGACTGAGCTACGTGCGTAGACAAGCAGCAGCTTCCTCCTTTTTCTCCTCCTCGTCCTCCTCCTCCTCCTCCTTCCTTCCTTCTCCTCCTCCTCCTCGTCCTCGTCCTCCTCCTCCTCCTTTTCCTCCTCCTTGTCCTCCTCCTCTCCTCCTCCTTTTCCTCCTCCTCCACCCCCAAAGCGTCAGGTCAAACAAGCATTGTCGTGGCAAATCCGTGCTCCTCTGGCCGTTGAGCACCGGCACCCCGCTCCTTCATTTCCGGTCAGGCCCCTCTTCCCGCGATCCACTGCTCGTTCGCGGCGAGGCCCCGCCTCCTGTGAAGTTGATGCGCAGGCCTCTCCTCGGATGGATCGGCGCGCCTCGGGCGACGTCCACTCCTCCCTCCTCCTCTAGCGTCCTCCTTCGCCTCTTCCTTGCCCCCTCTGCTCTTCCCCCCCTCGCCGCAGCCCGCGCACCCTCCCTTGTGCGCGCCCTGTCCCCGCGCCGCAGGGCGCTGTGCTGCTGCTGCGCGGGCCTCGCGGAGTGCGCCGAGCGGGCCCTGAGCATGGCGCCCCAGGGGGGTCCGCGAAGGGAGAGCTGCCGTCCAGGCCTCCCGAATGGGGTTCGAGTGGATGGGGTCGGAGGATCGCGCCGCATCGCCGATGCATCGCCGATGCATCGCCGCTGCATCTCCGATGCTAGCGGTGACGTCGGAGACGCATCCGCGACGCACGCAGGACTGGTGAACCAGGGCCCCTGGAGCCAGGACGCTGTGAGCCAGGACTCGGCAAATCCCAGCTGGAGAAAGCGCATACCGGAGACCGTTTCGACCCACGGCCGCATCTTCTTCGCGGGCGCGCCATAGCGTTTTTGGACTACCAGCAGCGCTCCAGTTGAAGGAGCTCTGGGAGCTTCTGGGGCAGACTCGTCCTCTTCGCCTGGACTCTCCTTGAGCAGGACCTTCGCGCCGGCAGTGGAGAGCCCCATGGCGGGAGAGGCTGTTTGTTCCGCCCGCGAGCCCCACGACGCAGGGACGCGCCAGGCAGAGTCTCGCCAGCGTGCAGGGCCACCGTGGCTGTTGCCGTCGCTGCCGTCAGAGCATGCAGGAAGGATGGGAAAAGGGGTACAACTGGCACATCCAACAGGCACTCGGATTCCGAACAGGTGCCCCACAGGAGTGCCTGATCCCCCGAGGGCCCTGGGGATCCACAGAAGCGCTGGGGCACCTTCAGGCCCACAGAGGTCGACGCACAGTGATCGTGCAGGGGAGGCAGGGCGCGCTGACCCAGGGCCCGGCGCCCAGGGCAGACGCGGCAGCCATGCCAGCTGGCCGCCCCCGCCGCCAGACGCAGCAGCAGACGACGAGGTTGGTGCCAGCGGCGTCGCCTCGGCGGGCCGCCAGCCCTGGCAGCCGATGTCGCCCTGGCGGCGTCTCCCCCGAGGGCTGCCGCAGGTGACCGCCCTCCCCTGGGCGCCTGGGCGACGGGCCGCCCGCGAGCCGGGTAGCCTGAAGTCGAGCATGTCCCTCGACAGGAGGAGCATTTCAGAAATAGTCCAGGGGCGATTTCTCGTGCTCCCTGCAATCTTTTTTCATTGTTTTTCTCTTGTCTATTCTCTGTTCTTCCGAAACCCGCCTGTAGGAGGACATTCAGGACATCCTGTTAGTTGTGTGTATTTATTTGTGTGTTTGTGGGCCCCTTCATCTTTGCTCTTCCAAAACCCGCCTGTAGGAGGACATGCCCGACCCAAGGGGAGCCCGCGCCCTGGCCCCTGGCCACGGGGAGGCCAGCACGCCGGCGACGCACTATGAGCCGCAGGCGAGCCTTGAGAACGGCCCCTGATCTCTTGGCACTGCACGGGTGGCGCCAGGCCTGCGGGCATGGGACCTCCTCAGCAGCGCGAAGGGAGGAAGGAAGGAAGGAAGGAAGGAAGGAAGGAAGGAAGGAAAGAAGGAAGGAAGGAAGGAAGGAAGGAAGGAAGGAAGGATGATGATGATGAGGAGGAGGAGGAGGAGGAGGAGGAGGAGGAGGAGGAGGGAGGAGGAGAGAGAGGAGGAGGGGGAGGAGGAGGAGGAGGAGGAGGAGGAGGAGGAGGAGGGAGGAGGAGGAGGAGGAGGGGGGAGGGAGGAGGAGGAGGAGGAGGAGGTGGAGGGAGGAGGAGGAGGAGGAGGGGGAGGAGGGAGGAGGAGGAGGAGGAGGAGGAGGAGGAGGAGGAGGAGGGAGGAGGAGGAGGAGGAGGAGGAGGAGGAGGAGGAGGAGGAGGAGGAGGAGGAGGAGGAGGAGGAGGAGGAGGAGGAGGAGGAGGAGGAGGAGGAGGAGGAGGAGGAGAGGAGGAGGAGGGGAGGAGGGGAGGAGGAGGAGGAGGAGGAGGAGGAGGAGGAGGAGGAGGAGGAAGGAGGAGGAGGAGAGGAGAGGAGGGGGAGGAGGGGGGAGGAGGAGGAGGAGGAGGAGGGGGAGGAGGAGGGGGAGGAGGAGGAGGAGGAGGAGGAGGAGGGGAGGAGGAGGGAGGAGGAGAGAGGAGTAGGAAGAGGAACACGAGGGGGAGGAGGAGGAGGAAGAAGGAGGAGCGAGGATGAGGGAGAAGACGAGGAGGAGCAGGAGGAGGAGGAGGAGGAGGAGGAGGAGGGAGGAGGAGGAGGGGGAGGAGGAGGAGGAGTGGGAAACACAGACGGACGACGTGGAGCGGGGAGGACGAGCGGATCATCCCCTTCTCTCACCGCAGCGGGAGAAGGGAGGTGAACGATCTTATTTACACCGACATCGCCCTGAACGAGTCCAGCTATCTCGAGGCGCCCCGCAGAAGGGCCCCAGGGCCGGGGCCCCTGGCGGCGCCGACGGGTCCAGTCCCCCCCCCCTTTGCTCCCGGTGGCACCGCACTTGGTACTCACCAGCGGGTGCTTTGGATCGCCGCCGGAGCTTGGCCACTTCGGGGTTCCTTTCGGGCACCGCAGCGCTGCCCGCAGCGGGAATCGTTTGGGTTCGCCAGGTCGCTGGCCAAAGAACCCGTTCGTGGAGTACCCGTCAGGGTGGCTTTGCCCCCCCCCCCCTCCCACTTATAGGACGAGGAGGAGGGCCCTCAAGGGTCTTTCACTCGCGAGCTCGGCCCGTCTTGGGCTCCAGGGGCCCCCGCGGCTGGATCTGGCTCGAAGGGTTGCGCTTCAAGTCGAGCTTGGTGGCTCCGAGCGTGCCTGTTCCCGGTTGGGAGCTTCCGCTTCGCGTGTCGCCCCGCCCGTTTGGGCCCACCACGCTTCGGGGCGACGTTCGAACCACGTCCCGCTTCCCTCCTCCTCCTCCTCCTCCTCCTCCTCCTTCTCCTCGTCCTCCTCCTCCTCCTCCTCCTCCTCCTCCTCCTCCTCCTGCGCCTCCTCCTCCTCCTCCTCCTCCTCTTCCTCCTCCTCCTCCTCCTCCTCCTCCTCCGCCTCCTCCTCCTCAATGCGCCAGCGTCCCGAGCCTTTCCCCCAACCGCTCACCCCGCGGAGCGGAGCGACACGCCAGCCGCCTGCACGGCACGGCGTGCCGCTGGGCCCGCCGCCGCAGCACGCCGAGCAGAGCTCCCGACCAGGAAGTTTTTGGGTTTTCTCTCGCGACGGCGGATCTCGTGGCAGGAGAGGCGGAAGGGTGTTGCCCGGGGGCGGCCGAGAGCTGGCCTTCTCCCCGGGTTGGGGGGGAGAGGCGGCGCGGGAGCTCTCAGATTGCCGCGACTCGCACGGTGCGACGCGCGGCCCAGGCCAAAATGGCTTGAGCCAAAACGGCTTGAGCCAAATGGCAGGAGGGGCGGCGCTTGGTCAAACAATTTTTGGTCGGCGGGTCGAGAGCGGGCCTCTTCCGGTTCAGAGTTAGGCGGCGCGCGCGAAGCACTCATCGGGGAGACAGGGCGCGGGCGGGCGGGGCCTCAGGCGGCCGGAGGGTGCGGAGGCGCTTGGTCCAACAATGAATGCTGGTCGATTGTTCCCCTGCCATTCTTGGAACCTCCAGCGAGGCCCTCGTCGCCAGGGCCCCTGTGCTCTCGGGGTCTTGGTCAGAGCGCGCTCCAGGGTATGCCCTGGGGTCGACTGGATGGGGAATGGGGCCGTCGTAACGGTACGTGAATTCGCGATTCTGGAAACCTGGAACGGTTTCCAGGGTTCGCGATTCTGTTGTCATGGAGCAGGTTTAGGGCTCGGGGGGGGGGGGCCGCAAATCGCCGACACACTATTACAAGGATATGGTACTCTGAGGGGGCCGATGATCGGAGGTCTGCGTCGTGAACTACTTTGCGCGTCGGAGGGCTGATCCCGCCTCTTTCCGCCGCACCTCCTTTTTCTTGCTGTGCAATCAGACTGCTGGTACTGCTGGTGCTGTCAGGCTTCTTCTGCCTCGTGCTCACAAAGTAGCGTGAGCGCATATCGTGCGCTGCTCGTTTGGCCAGTGCAACCTTACGTGGTTTGTTCTCGTGTGGATGCACACTCTCGTACACCGGGACATGCACACGTTTGTGCATCTGCATTTCTGTATATCTACACGTGCACAAGAGCGCATTGTTTTTTTTCGCGCCATGCGCCCGGTTCCGTACAATCTTGTAGTACTGATCGGTGCGTTTCGCTTCTTCCTCCTCTTCCTCCTCTTTTTCCCCGACCTGGCGGAGGGGTTCCCGTTTAGTACTCCCCTGGGGGGGTCTGGGGGGGGACCCCCCGGGACAGGGCCCCAGCCACGCGCGGAGCGCAGGCGGAAGTCCGCAGAAGACGGCCGCATTTCTGCAGACGCGCTTCTGGGAGGCACGCACGGGCGGCTCCAAGAGGGTCCGCAAGATGACCCAAGAGGGCCACGAGTCGCCGAGAGCTCGGTCCAAGACGCCCAAGATGGGCCCAAGACGGCCCAAGAGGCCTCCGTAGCCATTTTGGCTCAAGCCATTTTGGCTCAAGCGGCTTTGGCCCAAGTCAGTTTGGCTTGAGGTGTCGAGACACACTCGGCCAGGCTCGCTCTTCTCAGCTGGCGTCCTGCTTGTCGCGCGAATGGCTCTGCACCGTGGACGGCGTGCTGGCGGAATGTTTCAGATTGTCCTGTCAGCTGCTGTGTGCAGCCACGGAGCCCTGTTCCTGTGCAGCTTCGCTTCTGCGGGCAGGTCGGCGAGGCGTCTGCAGGAGAGCACGCGTGATCCAGTTCGCGGTCAGGGTGCCTGGCCGCGATGCGTTCTGAGGAAGCGGAGATATGCTCGAGATGTGCGCTGCCTCTACATGTCCCCCTCGAGTCTCATGAGGAACATCCAAGCCGCACAGACGTGTGACGAGCTCTTCAGCCTGTCCGGGCACGAGGACACCAATATGTTGCACCGGGCATCGATCCTGCTTCAGCTGTCAAGGTTGAACTTCAAGACCTCGAGTCGGGTGGGGCAGATGAGTGTATGGAAAAACTTGCTCTTCATGGTGATGGGGGACATTCCGGGCTGGAAGTCGAGCAGCAGTTTCAAGAACCGCCAGATCAGTCGTAATGCTTGGACCGAGAGGGGGCACTACCTGGGCAATGTGGTATATAGTCTGGGACGCCTAGACGGCGTCGTCTCCGCGGGCCTTTCCGAAGGCGAGCATGCCCTTCTTCGTGAGCATACAACCCTGGCGGTGCTGGAAGCCCTGCCAGATCTGATAAAGAATAATCAGACCGATCCGTTGGGCGAAATTGTATTCGGCCTGAGCATGACTGAAAGGAATCTCCAGACGGACGAGATATTCCGGACCCTTGCGCCGCATATCCCAGATCTCATCCGCGCAGGCCGAAGCAGGGACCTCAGCCTCGTCAGTATTGTTGGCGCGTACTCTTTGTATGCGTTGCCTGATCCTGTGATTGTGGACATGTTTGTTGAATTGAAGGGTATGGTCAGCGAGCTTTCAACTAGTGACCCTTACTTTGTCAGCATTTGTTCCAGGATTTGTAAGGCTTATGTGAGATACGAGGCTCTTTGTGCCAGGGCCGTTGACAATGTGAACACGTACTCCGTCTTTCTTGTGAAACGTGACCCAAACGATGGGCTCGGCATTGCGATGCGGCCAAGGAATAGCCAACGTGCAATCGAGGTCGTGAAGATCGCCAGAGGTCTAGTGAGTAGATGGAACAGGCTCTACCCAGCTTGGATGGTGCAAGAGGAGGATGAAATCATCAAAGCCAATGCTGTCGCTGGTGATGTCAAGTCGGTTGTCGAAGAGATTCGAAGCAGCAGCGAAGTCATGCTGACAATACGGCGCAAGCGGGTAACATTGCGGAAGTTGGCAGATCCAGAGGCGATGAAGGATAAGGCTATGATCAAATCTCTCGCGATGAAGTTTGTTGAATCATGCACACGCTACACGGACGAACCTCCAATGCTATCTATCATTGGTCTACTCACCGGCACGGTTCTCTTTGATGCAGACGTCGAACCATTTTATACCTACGTGGCTCCACACCTGAAAGCCATGATTCCAAGGGCAAATTTTTACAACGCAGCTCATATCCTTTGGCTTTTGAGTCTGAAAAATGTGTTCCACGACAAGTCCATTGTCAAGGGTCTTGCCAATCGAGTTGTAGTGCCTCTCCGAAGTATCGCCATCGCCGACAAACATAAGAGCTATATCCCTTGCATAGTCAACGCGCTGAAGATGTTACGTTTTGAGTCCTCATCAGAGGTCATGCAGGAATTAAAGTCGGCAGCGCAGCAAGTTGGTATCACCGACCAGGAACTGGATAGTCCTCAAAACCCCGTGCGTTTATTTTTAAGAGGCGAAGATTAGGCGCCGACTCGATGCCCTCGACATTCAGGCAGATTACGTGCTCGGCTTGCTGGTGTGAGGTGTGTGGCTTGTCGATTGTGCGCGTATGGAGGAGTGAAGGTGAACGTGTAGTCTATAGTACGGAACACTGAGGAAGCTCCAGCACTGCACCCGAAAAAAAAGACGGCCCAAGAGGCCGCCAAGGCGCCTCAAGAGACCTCCAAGGAGCCGCCCAAGAGAGCCCCAAGAGGCGAAAGTCTTCAATTTTACGAAGGTTTCTGAAGGATTTTTGACTTCGCGCCTTTTCGGCTTTCCGACACTCCAAGACGGCCCAAGAAGCTTCCAAGACTGCCCCAAGACGGCCGAAGAGGCCCCCAAGAGGGCCCCAAGGCGGTCCAAGAGGGCCCCAAGACGGTCCAAGAGCCGCCCAAGACGGTCCAAGAGGGCCCCAAGACAGCCCCAAGAGGGGCCCAAGAGCGGAACCACAAACCGAAAATTCGAACCTTCTGCCTCTCTTGAGGCCCCAAGAGGCCCCCAAGAGGCCCCAAGAGCGCCCAAGGGGCGCCCAAGAGGCCCCAAGAGGCCTCGAAGATGCCCGAATGAGGGCCCAAAGCTGCCCCCAAGAGGCCTCAGAACAGGCTCCCACAGGCCACCGAGAGAGCAACCACGATTACACATTATTTCTTCGTCGGGCGTCTTCCCCTTCGTCTAATCAAGCCCACAACGAGCAGCTCCTTCCCTACCCCCGCGCCCTTGGAGCGCCCTTGCGCCGCATCGGGTCCTCTTGGACCGTCCTAGGGTCCTTCCTCCCCAGACCCCCGACGTCATGTTTTTTTTTACGACGCGATCCCCGGAGGTCCGACGGCTTTTTTCCCCGACCTGGCGGAGGGGTTCCCGTTATGTGTTCCCCTGGGTGGCCTGGGGGGGACCCCCCCGGGACATGGCCCGGCCACGGGCGGAACGCTGGCGGAAGACGGCCGCTCACGGCCCCATTTCGCCAGACGCTCTTCTGGGTGGCTCGGACGGCCCCAAGATGGTCCTCAAGATGGTTCAAGAAGGCCTCGAGTGGCCGAAAGATCGGCCCAAGACGCCCAATATGGCGTCCCGACGTTCCAAGAAGCCCAAAAGACGCCACGAGAGGCCCCCAAGAGTCTTTCCAGGAGAGCCCGAAACATAAGATATCATTGGTTTTCCGTAGGTTTTTGAAGGGTTTTTGGGTTTTCGCTTTTTCGGCTTCCCGCCGCTCCAAGAGAGCGCTCAGAGACCACCAACAGAGCGCTCAGACGGCTCAAGACGTCCTCAAGACGACCCAAGAGGCAGATTTTTCGGTTTCTCCGCCCCAGTGACCCTTCCAGAAGCCCCCAGAGACGCCCAATATGGCGTCCCGATGCCCCAGGGAATTCAAAAGACGCCCTGAGAGGCCCCCAAAACGCTTTCCAGGAGAGCCCGAAGCATACTAAATCATCGGTTCTCCTCAGGTTTTTGAAAGTTTTCGCCTGTTCGGCTTCCCGCCGCTCCAAGACGGCCCAAGAGGTCCCAAAGAACGCCCCAAGACAGCCTCAGAGACCCCCAAGAGAGCGCTCAGACGGCCCAAGACGTCCTCAAGACGGCCCCAAAGGCCTCCAAGACGGCCTCCCAAGCGCCACAGGCACGCCCCAAGAGAGCCCAAGAGAGCGCCTGGAGCGGAGGCAGGAGCCGATTTTCCGGGTTTTCTGCCCCAGTGACCCCTCCTGAGGCCCCCATAGGTTCCCAAGAAGCCCCCAAGAGGCCCCAATAACCCTTGCAGAGGCCCCGAGAGGCCCCCAAGAACCCTCCAGAGGCTTCCAGCAAGCCTCCAGAAGCGCCCAAGATGGGCCGAGCACTGCCCCAAGACAGCCCCAGGACGGCTGGAGGCGCCTCGACACAGCCTCACAGCGTCAAACGGACAACACGGGAACCTGATGAGACCCCAAGAGACCCCTAAGAAGACCCCAAGAGGCCTCAAGGCCTCAAGACGCCTCCAGAAAGCCCCGACAAGCCCCCAAGAGAGCCCCAGGACTGCCCCAAGATTTCAGGACTGCTGGAGGCGCCTCGACAAAGCGTCAGAGCGACAAACGGACAGCCCCGGGACTCCCTCAGGAGGGCCCCAGGACGGCTGAAGGACCTGAGAAGGCCCCAAGAGGCCCCCAAGCGTCACAACCACAAACGGACAGCCCCGAGACTTCCTAGCTCGTATGGACATTTCCTGAGCTCACCTTACGCCTTACGAGGTCTTCAGCAAGTCCCCAGAAGCGCCCAATAGGGCATCAGGACAGCCCCAAGAGGGCCCCACGACGGCTGGAGGCGCCTCGACAAAGCGTCACGACGTCAAACGGACAACACGGGAACCAATGTAATGCTTGTTAAGCAGCACAGCGTCAGTCGGACCAAACGGGAACCAATGTAATGCGCACCCTGGCCTTCCTCTTATGGGCTCGCATGCCGACGAGCTGAGCTCACCCCGTGGCTCGCATGGTCGCGTTCTGAGCTCACCTCCAAGACGCACCGTTGTTTATCTGGCCGCCTTTCCCTCTGGACAGCTGTCGCAGAGAAATCCCAAGCGACTTTTCGTATTGCCAGAAAGCCCTACAAGAAGCCTCCGGGAGGCTTCAATACGGCCACATGCGGCCCCGACCGCCGCAAGTTGTCCAATCCAGTCCTCATATAGTCAGACACGTCCCCGACACAAACTCCAACCAAACCCGACGGCCCCCAGGAGCCCCCAGATCCTCCAAACTCAATCTTCTCGCCCGTTAAATGCAACCGCGCCCCCTCCCTTCCCTGAGGCTCGCATGGAAACGAGCTGAACTCACCTCGTGACTGGCATGGTCGCGAGCTGAGCTCACCCCCTCCCTTCCATGTGGCTCGCATGGACACGTACTGAGCTCACCTAGTATCTCGCCTAGTCGCTCACTTCCAAGGCGCATCGTCGTTTTCTTGGCCGCTTTGTCTTCAGAAACGTTCCCGACACAACCTCCGACGAAATCCGAGGTTTCGGTTTCTCCGCCCCATTCACCCCTCCAGAGGCACCCGGAAGCTCCCAAGAAGTTCCCAAGAGGCCCCAATAACCCCTGAAGAGGCCCCAAGAGGCCCCCAAGAACCTTCCAGAGGCCTCCATCAAGCCCCCAGAAGCGCCCAAGAGGGGCGCAGCACTGCCCCAAGATAACCCCAGGACGGCTGGCGGTTCCTCGACAACACCTCACAGCGTCAAACGGACAACACGGTAACCTGATGAGACCCCAAGAGACCCCCAAGAAGACCCCAAGAGGCCTCAAGGCTTCGAGACGCCTCCAGGAAGCCCCAGAAGCTCCCAAGAGGGCCCCAGGACTGCCCCAAGACCCCAGGACTGCCTGAAGCGCCTCGACAAAGCGTCAGAGCGACAAACGGACAGCCCCGGGACTCCCTCAGGAGGGCCCCAGGACGGCTGAAGGACCTGAGAAGGCCCCAAGAGGCCCCCAAGACGACCCCAACAAGCCTCAAGACCTCACCACGCCTCCAGGAAGCCCCCAGAAGAGCCCAAGAGGGCCCCAGGATTGCCCCACGACTCCAGGACTGCTGGAAGTGCCTCGACAAAGCCTCACCGCGGCAAACGGACAGCCCCGAGACTTCCTAGCTCGTATGGTAATTTCCTGAGCTCACCTTAGTTAGGAGGTCTCCAGCAAGCCCCCAGAAGCGCCCAACAGGGCCTCAGGACAGCCCCAAGAGGGCCCCACGACGGCTGGAGGCGCCTCGACAAAGCGGCACAGCGTCAAACGGACAACACGGGAACCATCAGAATGCGTGTTCTTTGTCTCGCAATTCTTTACGCTTCGCGTATCCCCACCAGCCTATCTCTCAACAGCAACTCTTGCGAAGCGTGCCGACAGTCGTGTTTTTCAGGCGTGTTTCCGCCTGCCCCCGCATATCTCCCCTGTTCCTCCTTCCTCACGCCTCCTTGTACATCCTCCTTGTGGTGGGAGCGGGAGAAGAACGAGGCGGAGGAGGAGGGAGAGAAAGCGCTCCTCGTGGTTTGAGTCGTTTGGGGTTTCTCGTCCTGGTGTGAGTCGTTCGGGCCCTTCTTCCTGTGTGAGTCGTTCGGGCTCTTCGTGGTGTGAGTCGTTCGGGCTCTTCGTCCTGGTGTGAGTCGTTCGGGCTTCTCGTGGTGTGAGTTGTTCGGGCCCCTTGTCCTGGTGTGAGTCGTTCGGGCCCCTCCTCCTGGTGTGACTCGTTCGGGCTCCTCGTGGTGTGAGTCGTTCGGGGCCCTCGTCGTGGTGTGAGTCGTTCGGGCTCCTCGTGGTGGCTTGTATGAGCGCTGCCCCTCCTCCTGGTGTGACTCGTTCGGGCTCCTCGTGGTGTGAGTCGTTCGAGGCCCGCGTCGTGGTGTGAGTCGTTCGGGCCCCTCGTGGTGTGAGTCGTTCGGGCGCCTCGTCCTGGTGTAAGTCGTTCGGGAACCTCCTTGTGGTGTGAGTCGTTCGGGCTCTTCGTGGTGTGAGTCGTTCGGGCCCCTCGCCCTGGTGTGAGTCGTTCGGGCTCCTCGTGGGGCCTCTTGGGGGCCTCTTGGAGCCTCTTGGGGCCTCTTGGGGGCCTTTTGGGGGCCTCTTGGGGACCTCTTGGGGGCCTCTTGGGGGCTCTGGGGGCCTCGTGGGGGCCTCTTGGGGGCCTGTTGGGGGCCTCTGGGGGCCTCTTGGGGGCCTCTTGGGGGCCTCTTGGAGGCCTCTTGGGAGCCTCCTGGGGGCATCAAGGCGCCATCTTGGGGCCTCTTGCGACCTCCTCAGAAGCGCAAAGGAGCGCTACCCCCTGAGACAGACAAAATGAGCCCAAAACCTTAGTAAAATCAATGATTCGGAGAACAAGGAAGAGGAGCGCTGCCCCCTCAGAAGGCCAACATGGGGACAAAACCGTAGTAAAATCAATGATTTTGGCGTCACAGAAGAGGAGAGGGTTTTTTCTCTATCCCCCCGTCGGGGCGAGAATCCTCGTGAGGGTCGTAGTTTTTTGGCCCTCCCAGGCGTCGAAAAGGACCCCCCTGACCACCCGCGGGGCGCCCTCTCCAGGTCCAGGGGGAGGGGGTAGGGGGAGGGGTAAACCCCTCCCCGAAGGGGAAGAAGGGGGGTTGAGGACAGAGAGGGCTCCCTAAACCACTCACGCCCAAAGGGCTGGTGGGATTTCCAGTATCAGC